AACCATAGTTATCCTTTTCCCAGGCATTTAGCACTGCGGCAAAAGGCCAAGAACGACTGGAACGCACTGCATCTTGAATCTCAGGAGAATTCGAACGAATAAGAGGATTAACATTTACAGCAAAAGGACTGCCTTTAATGTGTGCACCTCGCAAGCACACGGACAATGTCAATTTATCATACAACCTTTCGACAGTATATTCTGCCAAATAAGTTCCATCCTTTCGGTCCTTTAACTCTACCTTTATATCATCTCCTCTCACCTCTGGTTTCAGTTTCACCACAAAAACGTCGCCACCGCGCTTGCGTTGAAAGTTTCGGCTGTCGTGAGAAGTAATAGTGAATGTCGCCTTCCTTCCACGGCTTGCGGTTGTTATTCCCGGGCCAGTTGCAGTAGTGTTTGCTGCACAGGTTGATATGTCACTGATGTCTCCTGCGCTCTTGATAACCGCCTCTATACTCTTGTTGCAACGGTACTTGACAGGCTGAAAGAGATCGTTGCATTCTACATTCTTTACAAATTCAATTTTGAAACGCTCATTTACTAAAAAACGATTTACTTGGGCACGCTTAGTCATCTTTCACTCGATATTCCCTTTATTTCTTAGCAGTTTTATAGAATAAAATTGTCTTTACGACAACCATATTTTAAGCAACTTATGGATGAGTTCGTAGAGAAATATATTTGACAACTGAGAAATGAATTTTGGTGTGTCTGTACTGTAATCGATCATGGGCAACGACTCTGCGCAAAGCCGGCGCACACCATTGGTATAGTCTGAATAAAACGAACGCAATCGTAGGCTTTCTTCAGGTGATCTTCAAGATCATAATTCAAAACCTTCAGACTAGCAATGCACCTTCTCAGAATAACAATCAGAGACAACAACATCATTAAAAACTCAGAATCTTCGAGCAAGAGAAAAGCTCGTGGGGTGGCGGGGGGGTGCGATTTTCCTAAAACGAAAACACGTGATACAGATTCCCAGTTTCTCACATAGTCATGATACGGGCGTCGAAACGGGTAGGGGATAGAGGAAGAAGAAGGAAGCTGTTAGCTCAGCTCAGGCTCTGTTGGTAGAGGTGGAAAATAATGGTGGAAAATTTCACAGGGAAATAAATATATACTACTCGACAAACGACAACTACCCTGGTCCCAGATCGCCGCTTTGCACAGCTCGTTCTCTTTTACGCTGAGAAAATTTCAAGAAAAACGTCCGGGACCAGGGTTGATGACAACTGCTATGTAAAAAATATCTGCCGCAGACTATTCATCCCGGAGAAAAGAATGCCGCTCGAAGAAAACCGTTAGTCTGGGTCCCAGGCTAATTCATGGATAACTAAGATAAAAATTTGAATTCTCACCATTCTTTCCTCTTCGCTCTTGGTGAACTCCGGCAAAAACTGTGCCTCTGGGTCAAGCACCATTGAGTAGCTTCTTTCGGTCTTGAGCGTGGAGACTAAATCCGGCCTGCTGAGAAGGAACTGAACATCACTCAGAGATTGGATGGAGGACTTTGCTCTTTGAACTACACTCTCTAAAAATGTTTGGTTTACTCGCAAACGGCCGAGCTGCTCCGTGAGGATGGATTTCTTTTGTTGATGTATACTGGACAACTTATCGATCAAAACTTGCTCTCGGTTAGATAGTGCGGAATGAAGCTATAAATATACAAAAGAAAACGCACACTGTAATATCCGCGGATCTATTCCACACAAAGAATCAAGATAAAAAACGGTTGATAGCTGCGTCCCGAGGTGCGTAGTCTGTATGCAAAGGAAATAGGAGAAGTCACCACGCAGGCTACGAAGAAGCCTTTAACGCGGACGTTCTTAGGGCTTACGTCTGTGTGGTAGGCTAGCTACGAGGTGAGTTCAGTGAATACGTTCAACAATCATGATCCGGGAGCGGCCTATCAGAGGCCTACCCTTAAATATCTAAATCATTGGCCTTAGTTCAGGATAGGTATCAACAAATCACTGGTTTCTGCATTCCAGGTTGAGTTCATTTTGTTTCTTTATCTAATTGTTAGCAGAAACCGTTAATGAGCAACAGAAAATTCGGATCGTAACTCGTAAGTGGTAATTAAGGAATACTTCTTGCTGCATCAATTTCATTCGCCCCCAATAACAAAGATATGCCATACCTCTCTAAAAAAGCCTTGAATTTTTTCACGCTGTTTTACGCACGCTCCATCCATTAAAAGAACTTCTTCCATCACCTGAACTTCAGCAGCTTTAATTTTTTCGACTTGAGAGCTGGCTTTGGTGACAAGCGCCTCCATTTCCTGTCGGTATTTTGAAGCAGCTTCAGCTACAATTACACACTTGTGCCCACTATGATTAAGGGCGTAACAGTCTCTACAAATAACACGACCACAATCTTGGTCAAAAAAGCGAAATTGATCGTTATGTTCTGGACAGAGAACAGATACAGAAGCCAGCTGAGGGTTTGCTTTCAGCTCCTCGAGGGAAACAACCCGGTGGTCACGACTTGTTTTGCTGCGTTTATGAAACTGAGCCGCAGTTTTGCACATATTTTCTTTGCAGTCAAGGCAACAGAAATTGGCAGGGTGTTTCTCACCACAAGCCTCACATTCGTGCGTGCCTGTATGACCTGTATTTCCAGCATGTTGTTTTGGTGCCGTTTCGTTCACGATGTCCGGTAATGCAAAATTCTTTAACAGGCCATGGACCCCAGAAGGAACGGCAACTGGATTTCTGCATTTGGGACAATCAATGGTGTTACCACGGAGTAACCTTTCCAAGCAACAAGAGCAGAAGCTGTGTCCACAACTCAGCAACCGAGGACATTTGTTTTCGTCATTGTAACGTTCAAAACAGATTGAACACTCCGGTCCCTTGGATGCCATTGTCTATAAAACATCAAAACATAAACAGTCCAAAATTTTTCACATTTCGGAATAAAGAAGTAATTTTCGAAACGATAAAAAATGAGACATGTGTTGTTCATGTACTTATCTCCAATTGGAGTTATGAAAAATTAATGGTCAAATCACTATAACATGATTTGGACCAAACTGAGATGAAAATTAATGTTTTCGAAGATAAGTCATACAAAAGAAATTACTGGAGCAATAGCTGACAGGGGCACCCAACGTCAATTTTCGGAAAATATCTGTTCGGAAGACGATTTGAGATCTAGAATTTTCGGAACATTTGTTGTAAAATTTCTTGCTTACCTGCCTCTCCTAGGATTTTCGAACACATAAAAAATGGTATAATTGCACATTTTTGACGGATTTTTACCCTAAAAAGGTCACCTAGAATTTTCGGGAGCCGTTCTTCTGGCTGAAATTTTCGAAAAGGTAAGTTTTAATCCCTATTATTTTCGGATGACTAGACTTTCAGCTAGGAAATCCGAACAGATGAAAAATTTTTAGGGGATAAAAATATGCCTATATCTACCGTTTTTAAAAATACTAAAATACGTTTACAATGCTATGTTTAAGTAGTTTTGAACTATATTCTCGTTGGGTGCCCCTGAGCTGATTAATATTCACTGAATGTAATGTATATTAAACTTTAGCGTCCTTTTAATTTCTAAGGCTTACTTTCCGGCAAATAACATGAACTAAATGTAAAAAGTGAAATAATAGCGAAAAACTAAACTTCTAATTAAATCTTTTCTTATGGTTTAAAATAAATTATTCTCGAAACTGAAAATGTTTTGATCAAAGCTGTGTAAATCGAACCGAAACTGTGCATGGAACCTTGCCTTTATTTCTTGTATTTATCTCACCTATTGTATGGAATATGTGTGAACATCTTCATTATGGATCGGTATATTTCAAAGAGCTACACAACGAGCAAGACTACTATTGACCGACAATATACAAAACGGGGGCAGCTGTAATGTCAACTATTACTAGTTTAATTCGTCGCTTGTGAAGATCGACGTTTGTCCCGGAGACGATCTTCAGACGGATAGAACAACGTGTTCGACGATCCGAACTTAAGTGAGCCAGAGGTCGAATTTTTCAAAACTTAACTCGGCTAGGTTCAGCTAGGTTTTGTTCGTCTCATGTAAAATTCAACGTTTGGTCTAGGCCTTACAGTAACAATTACAAAAAAAGGTACAATTGCCAGTGGAGTCTAAAAGTAATGTCACTGTGGTGACCTCTACACTACGTGGGACACCTCTCTAATATTTTGCTCTGTCCTTACCGTGTCCATGTTAGAGCGGCTTGACTCAGTACTTTATGTCAAGTATAAGTTTCTAAGTTTCAGTCTGACCTATTGCATAATTGGTAGCGCTTCACACAATACACAAGCGATCTTTCTTCTTTAAGACTGAGCTTCAGTTTGTTTCCCATGTGATACTTAAGACTATCTAACTGCATACAACGCCGGTTACGTCCGTTGAAAGAATGCAGGCGCGGATCCATACCGGTTTCCAGCGTTTTACGGAAATCGGTGACATTTCACTCATAATAGTACATTTTTAATAATAACAACACTTTCCACGTTGAAATCTGGTCAATATCCTGTCTGAATGACTCGGAAACCCAGGAAAGAGGACTTAAGGAGTAAAAATCCAAAAAAATTTCCTGGGGGAGCCCGCCCCCCGACCCTTCTAGAAGCTTCCACCTTCGGCGCTCGTTTAGGAAATTAGTCAGTGATTATCCTAGAGATACGCGCCTGGAATGCGCACACATATTTTTGCTAAACAATGTGATACTTCTCATAAAGTGATAACAAATAGTAAAAAGGCTGGTACATTATGAAAAGCCAGTGGTTTGTGACATGGTCAATGTGGCTTGAAGCTTTTCGACTCAAAATCTCTTGTTGTTTTTATGAAATAACTGAATTGAGAACTTTCCCGTGTCTAGGTCCATCTAACCACGTAAAGAATGTCATTAACGCGTGAAAATGTAAGAAATATCATGATCCCATTTACTAAATGCTAGCGCAAATGTACCGTAAAGTTGCGTAAGTACTGATGTAAAGCTTACAGTTAAATAACAAAGGAATATTTAATCCACAGATCTAAACTCGACTTGGATTTGGAAATGTCTTGTCGAGCTGATCCGGCAAAGCGATGGCAGAATTAGGTTGAATTATTCGACTCTACTGCCTTACGATAAACTTTTCCTTGCAGTATTTTAATAAAAGAAGTTGTACGTACCTTTTGTAAAGCAAAAAGGCTCACCGAAAGTAAGTTTAAGAACCTTTTTGTCGAATGTTTCTCCACCGTCTGCACTTCCGCCTTGTTGTTGCGAACGGACTTATGGCGCTGTTGGCCGAGAAGGCTTGGTACACTAAATTCCAGTCCTCACTCCTCTTAATCACTCCTCAATCCTGGATTTCTACTTCCATCTCAGTGGTTTCCAGCCCTCGCCCCTAGGCCACTCAACAGTGACCTTACGATCCGACAACGGGCGACGTCCATGAAAACGTAGCTGAAAAATAGACTTCGCATCCTTTTAAACTTTTTCGCTGTTATCCCAATTCGCCCTGTTACTTAGAAGAAGGGAATTTTGGTTGGAGCTGAAGAGAAGGGATCGCGCCCGAGTTCAGACAGAGATAGTAGAATTCATCACCTCGCCGTTCCTGGTCTCAAGTAAACTTAAAATTTGGTCATTTAATTTCACGTCTTAGTTGTGCAGGGACAGTAAAGAAATGTACAAAAAAGCGTAATGCACGCGCAGAGTTGCTGTTTTGCTCATTAAACCCATTGCTTTTTTGACGTTCTCCTTGCAGTCGCCGTCGTAGGTTCGTAAGGTCCCTATTGACTTCCATAACGGTCCGAATACCTGAGTTCACAGAGTTCACATTACCATATGTGACGCTCCACTTTCGAGATGGCGTGGCGCAGCTTTGATCAGTTACTGAGTGAATCGCACCGAAATCAGCGTTGTGAACAAGAGAGAAAAAGCTTTGTCATTCTCTCTTGATGTGAACAGGAGCCCTATCCGGTATGGTATGGGAAGGTCCATAATAATAAGTAGAGTTGCTGACCTCATTATAAGAGGCCTTTCTTAGTCAGTATACGTTAAAAAAATATCGTGTGCCAATCTAAATTTTAGAGAGCCGACTTAAAACTCAGACCTACTTCTCCCGCCAAATACAGCTGCTTTGCATTCACTGAAATACAATCTCTCTGCTTCACTACGTTACAATCTACGTTACAAAATCTCAAGATTTAGCCCACAAAAAATTCACGTTATCTCTATTAGTTTTACGGTCTTCCATATAATAGTCTTGAGAGGCCTGTGTGGCCGAGCGGGTAACACCTCGAACTCTGGATCTGGAGGTCCGGGGTTCAAGCTCCGCCCGTCGCTTTGTTTCCTTAGGCAAGGAACTTTACTCCACTTTGTCTCTCTTCACCCAGGTGTATAAATGGGTACCGGCGTCATACTGCTGGGGGGGCTGTAATGGACTAGCATCCCGTCCAGGGGGGAGTAGAAATACTCCAAGGCATGCTTCATGCTACGGAAACCGAGTTAAGCTCCGGCCGTGTGGGCCTTTGGCTCGTGTGCACCTTTACCTTTTTTATGTAATAGTCTTATAAATTGGCTCAGAAGAACCCGGTTTATACGGACACCAAGGCGACATGCCATAGTGTCCGTATTACTAAAGCAGGCTTTCAGAATGAAACGTTAGGGACACATGTTTTTATCGATGTGAAGACTAAAGCAAACATTTTTACGAGAAAACGTTGTTTTGTTCTGTAATTGTAACAAGTTCATCCTAAAGTAATCTCACAATCACTTATCAAAGTCTACTTTAGTCTATTACCTTTTAAGAATTAAGCGAGCCGTGATTTTAGAAAAAAAAATATGTGGCCTTTTCATCGGGAGGACAGACGAAACTGTCCGTAATAAACGGCTGTCCCCCACGTGGGGATCCACTGTATACTAAAAATTGTACTCTGCTAGTATAAAAGTGCAAGTCGGAAGTACCACAGATGGCGTGTTATTTTGTTCCTATTATTCTAGAGATGCAGAACATTATCATAGTTTTTGCAAAGCCTTAGTTTTAAAACTTCCACAGAAATCCACAACAAAAGCAAATACCAATTTCATGCCAATTAATTACACGTAATTGATGGCATTTATAACCATGTGCTTACTAAAGAAAACAGTATGAAACAGTATAAATGTGACCCGCGTTGAATCGAATGACATCATGTAGCCTGGATCGTTTTGTCTAGATCTATAACCCAGGCAGAGTACTGGAACTTCGAAAAATTTTCATTGGTTATTAATAATATTTATCTACCTCGACAGGCAAACAAAGTGCCTATTTAATAAAGAGTCTTAGTTAGTCTTATATATGGATAACTACACCAAAAGAATAATCCCATCTAAAAACTAACCCTAACGAATTGAGACTTAAAGAACTTTTAGAATTTTCAGTTCAAACTCCTCCCTCAACCAATCCCCGGGTCTAGAGCTTTACATCTTCCAGCCTCGTCTAGCCTATCTATAAGACATATACCTATGACAAAATTAAATCCTTAAGGTATATAAATACGACAAAATTAAATATCCTAAACTGAGTGAAAAGGGATAAGTCAAACATGGCATATACCGTATCAAAGCCGGTAAAACAAGAGCCATTGCAAAAGGAAGAAATTCTGAAAGGGGTAATATCAAATAGGCATCACACGCAAAAAGGCATCTCGCTGACGGAAAGGCATCACACAAAAAGGCATAACGCTTAAAGGCTTCACGCATGCGAAAGACATCACGCAAAAAGCCGAAACAAAAGCACTAATCGGTAACTGCCTCGTACCCAGACGTCCCTCTCGCGCGCGCAAAGGAAGGCGGGAAGGGGACAACGGGCTTCACCTGCAGTCTGTATCCTTCCCATGGTCCCTTGCGGCTCATCACCAGTCGCTCGCCTCTACCTTGCGAAAAACGAAGCGCCTGTGGAGAAGGCTGAATCGGTAATGTAACAAGAGTTTTCTTTGCCCCCTTTCCAGGCCCTTAATGAAATGTGCTTTGTATGTCTGGTGCAACTCCATTGCGCCATCCATTAGGTGTTCTATGCACTTTATGGTGTGAGTGTACCCTTGGACTCTGCAACGACTATAATTTATACCAGATTACGTTCAGCCGCATTTGTACCCTACTCTACACCAAAAACACAATTTTTTACTATTTCCCAGACTCCTGTTGCATACTGCAAACGTTTGAATTCCTAACTGTTTGTCAACAACAAGACATTATTCAACACGGACCACAAACAAGGGTCCAGTCGTCCTCATATGTATAACCCAAGCAGCCAGGAACGCAGAGAGCACTATAACCACGAACTCGCATAGTGTCTTTAGGACGGAACGGTTCATTACTGTTCATGTAGTAATTCATTTTCCTACTTTTCTTACCACATGCGTAGCAGCGTACTTCACCAATGGGCGGATTCTCCAAACGCACCAGGAAAGGGCTGCCTTCAATGTGGGTACCACGTAAAAGCACTGACAGCGACATGTGACCCTTTGTGCCTTCGGGGGCTCTATAAATTCCCCGATAAGTACCATTGCCTTGGTCAATTAAATTTACTTTCACACACTTCTTATCATTTGTCTGGAGGTTCACTAGAAAGATGTCGCCGCCAACCCCAAGTGAACGTCCTTGGTAATCATGTGCAGATATGGTAAAAAAGGAATCTTTTCCCATCGGTGCAATAAACAATCCCGAGCCTACCGCTTTTGTAGTAGTTGCACAGGCAGAAGGCCTTATTAATTCACCTGCGTTATTGATCACGTCTAGCAACAGTTCGCGGTTGAAAGCAACCGCCTCGAATTGACAGTTCTCCCGTGTTTCAAGTGGTGGTTGTTGGCTTTTTATGTCCTCCAGCAGAGTCTCTAAATCCGACATGGCGACAAGGAACTCAGCACTCCCTGATGACTGAATGATGGATCTTGCATTATTTACAGCACCTTCTAGACTGGTTTGAAATGTGTGCAAACGATCACGCTGCCTTGTGAGAGTGGCATCTTTGGCAATGTTGGCATGGTAAAGGTCATTCATTAAAATTTGTTCTCTTGTAGCGAGTGCAGCTTGAAGCTACGAGGTAATATGCATAACATCTAATGGTGAGAAGCTAATTCAGTCTGTATGGAAAGACCAGTGAGATGTTTCCTCAAATGGGAAAAAATGCACTTCATTTGAATGTGAATGTACGAAGAACGGTGAGCTCGAGTACTAACGCAGAGGCCATAGGTTCGAATCCCGTTTTCGGGTTAATTTACAATTGCTTAAATTGCAACTTGGCGACGATTATTTCTTCATAATTCATTTAAAGTCTATTTAAATTAGTACTGATTGAATAAAATTGAAGGTTTTGTGGAGAAATTAAGACACATTGTTCATTTGGGCATGCATTGGTCAGACAAACTAAGTAAAATAACCAGTCTATAAAAAAGAGAGCGAGTTGATTTTCAAGCGACCATTACTTTGCCTTTGCCATCGTCCCTGCTCGAAGTCCCTAGGTTGATTATTCCGGTAAAAGACGAGGAAATGGAATAACAATAAAAGGATTCCTTTTCCCCAAAAATTCCAAGGTAAACGACTACTGTATTTTAAAATTCTACCACTGTGTTTGAATTCAATTCCGAGACAAGACTCGAGCCAAAAAGCGCTCAAGTTAAGTGAGAAATCAACAAGTAGAATGAAATGCAACTGTGATCAAAGGGGGATTTTGATCTGCGGTTAAAATTCGGTAGCCTACGTAACTGACGCGGCGAGGGCGAGTGCTAAGAAAGTAGCCCATGCATAACAATCCCACCAACTAAGCAGGCGAAAATTATGTTACTTATCTTTTGTCTTTTTACTGTATTGTCACTTTCCCTCTCGGAAAAAAGGAAGCATAAAATGCAAAGCTTACCTCCCCGAACGTGACTTGAATCTGGACGGCCTGTTCTCGGTAAATATTGTTTAGGTTATCACGTGCTCGAAGCACCCTAGCTTCTGCAGCCTTAAACTCTTCTACGTGCCTACTGGCTGTGGTGACAAGCACTTCCATCTTCTTTTGGTACTTTTCAGCGGCGTCAGCTAGGGTCAAACAGTTGTGGCCTTTGTGTGTGAGTGCGACGCAGTCAATGCAGACTAAATGACCGCAGTCTTTATCGAAATATCTGAATTTACAGTCCTTATGGTCTGAGCAGAAAATCGATACGGCCGCCAGTCCCGGGTTTGTTTTCAGTTGTTCTAGAGAGACAATCCGATGATCACCACTTGCCTTATTGCGATAGTGCCAACGAACAGCATCTGCACACATGTCTTCTTTGCAGTCCAAGCAATGGGAAGTTGCAGGATGCTTATCATCATCACAAAAGCTACAAATCTCCGAATATCCTTCTCCTTGGCTCTCTCTAACGCGTCGTTTAGGTGAGGCATTTACAATGCTCAATAATGCAAAATTCTTTACCAGTCCAGCGACTCCAGAGGTCACGTTGACTGTAGTTTTGCATGTGGGACAATCAATGGTGTTACCATGGAGTAGTCTCTCCAAGCAGCTTGAGCAGAAGGTGTGTCCACAACTCAGCATTCGAGGACATCGGTCACTTTCATTGAACAGTTCACAACAAATAGGACACTCCAGAAATTCTATGGAAGCCATTATCTGAAAGAAACGATTAACAATTGATCCTCATTAAGCTAATGTAATCACCCAATAACAATCTGTTCTGACAACCTTGTAAGGAAATAGATCTCTTTTCCTTATCCAAATTTTTTCAAACTTCCCTCAAAAGGTAGACTGAGAGCAGTCTCTCCTTTTCTTCGAATTTAGTAAGGGGAGTGTATGTGTGCGCAAGCGTCTAGCGGCGAAGCCCGCCGGCGCAAAAAGACTAGCCCAGGAGAGCTGGGCCATCTCTAAGGTAAACAGCTGGGAAACTTCCCACCTACCACTCCCTAAGCCAATATTTTGCCCTAAGTAAAAAGTAAGTGTTAATGTTGGCTTAGGGGAGGGGTAGGTGGCCAGTTTCCACGGGATGGATAATGATCCGGTAAATATCGGTTCACTGATCACTGCCAGTGTGACGTCACATAGAGTTTCGGGTCGCTTCTGCAAATTTGCTACAAGGAACATCATAGTCATGCGAACAAAAGAGGTTGGGGATAGGATTAAAAGCCAGGCAAATATTGCTATACATGGCTAATGTGAGCTTGGTTGTTGCTTTTATCTGCTTGTATAAACCGTTTTGGTATTTTCTGTTCGTAATTATGTAATTTAGTTAATCTGTGTTGCGGGCTGTTTGCGGGATAGCCATCTTCTTTACGGGACCAGCATGGGCATAAAAAATTGGTTCATTTTCCTCTAAAATAGGCAACGTCTAGTCTCCAGAACAGGAGGTTTGATTCAGAGGTCACACACGTTTATATTCCATATATTCTTTCGCTAATTAAATCGACGGTACTTCTCATCAATCCCTTCGAGTGTGGGCCTCCGTTTATTTCTGAACTCTCCACCAAATTCAGTAAAGCAAGTTTGATCGATTTTCTTCATCGATCGGCCTTTTAAACCTGAAATAATGGCGAGTGCGAAAAATCGTTTTAACATTACAAAAACTGAGTGGCACCGTGGTGCAGTGGTCAAAAATGTGCAAAGATGAACAAGGTTCTCCTCCCGCGAAGCAGTCTTCTGATTCTCAATTTGTACATTTTTTCAGTGATCAAAGTCATCAGGCTTAGACTGGTAATTTTGTGACAGATCTACCAAATCCAAACTTAGGTGGCCCGCTACGTCGGGGCTGGGGGAGTACTCCCTTATATAAGCCATATACGTATGTGCCGCCCCAAAGGGTAACGTTTCAGTTCCCTTATCTTCAACTGGAGTTTTGAAAAATTAAAATAAAATACCATAACAAATAACCAAGAAAATATTAAGTCAAACCGCTCAGAAATTACTGGAGCGATGCCTGATTCACTAAATATGATGTATATGAAACAATTTACGAACACTTACAATAACAATTACGAATCATAGTGCAGTCTTAAAGTGATGTCACTGTGGTGACCTCTACAATACAGACACCACTCCTATACGGACCCTTTGCTCCGGCTCTCCTAACGGTGTCCGGCTACGTCCGTTGAAAGAATAGAGAGGAGAGGTGTGACGTCACGTTACCACGGTAGCACTATTTCTGGATGACAACTAAACCAACGACTACGGCGACGGCCAGGAGAACGGCAAAAAATAACAAACAACAACTTTGCACATGCATCACGCTATTTTGTACATTCCTTTGCTATGGTTGCACCACTACGACATGAAACTTCCTAATTTCACGAGCTCGATTTATGGAGCAGGTGAACACAACACAAAAATTGTCCCCTTCTTTTTGTAAACTTAGATAACGTTAGATATGGTCCCAAAGAAAATTTTGCCAGGATTTGCCAAATTAAACCACACTGAATAAGATTGGGGAAGCTTGAAATAGTGCGAATAGACTTTTAAGTGACTTTATCGCTTTGTTGTCATCCAAAAAGTTTGCTGCCTTGGCAAAGTGACGTGAGGACTTCTCTCTATTCAAGTCAATTTTTAAAGTTTTAAAAGTTTGAACTTTCCGAGTTAATGAGAAGCAAAGTTAAGTGCCTTGAGGTTTTAGCTACTAGGCAATATTATAGCTAAACAATGTGATACTTCTAATAAAGTCATAACAAATAGTAAAACGGCTGAGAGGTTTTAAGTACATTCAATACGGCTTGAAGCTTTTCGATTCAAAATCTCTTGTAGTTGTTATTAGTGAAATAACTGAACCGATAACTTTTCCGTGTCGTCACTTAAATCAATCCAACCAGATAAAGAATACCATCAACGCGTGAAAATGTAAGAAATATTATGATCCCATTTACGTAATATTAGTGTTAAGTACAGTAAACACTGACGTAAAGCTTGCATTTAAATAACTAAGCAATATTTCATCCAATGATCTAGACTCGACTTGGATTTGCTTGGATTTGGAAATGCCTCACTGAGCTGTCGAGAGCTGACCCAGCAGAGCGAGCGATGGCAGGAATTAGGTTGAACTAGTCGACTCTACTGCCTTACAATAAACTTTGCCTTGCAGTATTTTAATAAAAGAAGTTGTACCTACCTTTTATAAAGCAAAAGGCTCACCGAAAGTAAGTGTAAGAACTTTTTTTCCGAATATTCCTCCACCGTCTGCACTTCCGCCTTGTTGTTGTGAACGGACTTAATGGCGCTGTTGGCGGAGAGGGCTTGGTACACTAAATTCCAGTTCTCACTCCCGAATATTTACTTCGGTCTCAGTGGTTTCCAGTCCTCGTTCCTGTTCACACTACGATATGTGACGCTCCACTTTCTGCACTTTCAAGATCGGTGTTGTGCAGCTTCGATCAGTTACAGGGTGAATCGCGCCGAAATCACTGAGGGTTCTTATGTGTGAACTAGAGAGAACAAGCGCTAGCTCTCTCATTCTCTCTTGGTATGAACAGAAGCACCATCCGGTATGGTATGGGAAGGTCCATAATAATAACCTATAGTTTCTGACCTCATTAAAAGAGGCTGTTCTCAGTATACGTTGAAAAAAATACCTTGTGCCAACCTATATTTTAGAGAGCAACTTAAAACTCACAGGTACCTCTCCCGCCAAATACAGCTGCTTTACATTCACTGCAAATACAAACTCTCTTCTTCACTACGTTACAAAATCTTAAAATTTAGCCCGCACAAAAATTCACGGTATCTAATAGTTTGATGGTCTTCACGCCTGTAATAATCGTTAAAATTGGTACAGAGGAATCCGGCTTATACGGACACCAAGGCGGCATGCCCTAATGTTCGTATTAGTAAAGCAGGCTCTCAGAAAAAAAGGCAAGGTTACATGTTTTATCGCAGATGTGAATACTACTGAAAGCAGACATTTTTTACGAGAAAACGATGTTTTATTTCTTAACTGTAACCACTGGTATAACAAGTTCATTCTAGAGAAATCTCACAATCATTTATCAAAGTTTATTATATTCCATTACCTTTTAAGAATTAGGCCCCGTCCACACGAAGACGATTGTAAACGCAAACGCTAGTAAACGCATATTTTTATCTCCGCCCACACGAAAACGATCATCGTTTACGTAGCGTTTTAACCTGTCCGCACGAAAACGCTCGTAAACGCATAAAACGATGTCATACACCGAACGCGCATGGTCTCAGTTCTTCAGCTAGATTATATAGCGAGTCTCTGCTCATTCGAAAGTTCTCTTTCCACTCTTCTGGTATCACCACTTGATCGGCAAAGTTGTTCCACCAGGCGCTTGTTCGACCTGGTCTGGTCCAGAATCTTCTCTCTTTGCTCTCACGTCTGCATCAAAGTCGTTTTACTCGAGTAAAAGTGCTTGTAGTTGTGGATAACAATCTTGAGAGGTTTAGTCTTCTTCTTTTGTAGTTTTCCTGTATATCGATTATTGCATGATTCAATTGAATGCTCGCAATTATGCTTGAAATAAGCGCAAGCATGACACAGCTCAACACTCGTGTGTACGCCATCTTGGAAACGCACTCGATAAAAGAGACTGGCGTTGACATCTGACGTCAGCGTTTTCACAGCGTTTACGAAAATATACGTTTACAGCCGTCCACACGAAGACGCATAAACGGCGTTTTCAAATTTATCCACTTTGGAGAGCGTTTTCGAATTTATGCGTTTACCCGGCCTTCTAATTGATGAAGTAACAGACATCTCTGTTACTGAGCAATTAATCACGTTCGTGCAGTTTTGGAACAGCACTTCTGGTGGCACAGAGATTAAGTTTCTTAGTGCAAATGATCTCCTTGTTGAATCTGAGTCTGCAAATGCAGAAACCATAACGAGGACTCTTGTAACAGAGTTAAACCATTGTGACTTGTCAGTTGGAAAGCTCAATGGCCTTTGCACGGATGGAGCATCCGTGATGACTGGAAAAACCAGTGGGGTGGCCACCAGGCTGAAAGAGTTGAACAAACACCTCGTCAGTGTTCACTGCATCTGCCATAAACTGTCCCTTGCTTGCTGTGACACTAATGATGATATCGCATACATGCAAGAAGTTGAGAGATGGCTTTTTCAGATCTGGAAATTTTTTGAAAATTCCCCAAAACGACTTGCAGCATATCTGAAGACCCAACTTAACGTGAAAAAGCTGCAAGAGCCTTCAAAAGAGGCTAAAGATAAGTGCGTCCGTAGACTTGCTAAGGCTACTCGCACGAGGTGGCTCTCTCTTGGCAAGGCTGTAGAGGGTGTACATAAGGATTACGTACCACTCATGCTTACACTAAAAGCAACTTGACCAGAAAGATGCTCAGGCGTCAGGTCTTCTCGGAAAGATGCACAAAGTGAAATTCATTGGGGTGGTAACAGTCATGCATCACGTTCTTCCTGTTCTCAACAGACTCAGCTGTGCTTTCCAACAAGGAAAGGTTTCCTTCTCCCATATAAAGCCAGCAATTCAGAAGTGCACCGATGACCTTGACAAAATTGCCCAGATGGGAGTTCCAGTCACTGAGTTCCTTAGAGATCTTTCACCTGGAGGCAGATTGGAACAAGCTGATCTTACTGCGTCTGATAGAGATAAGCTGTTTCTCACCAATTTCCTGGTGAAATATGTCAATTCACTGAAAGAAAGCTTAAGTAGCAGATTTCCTGCCCTTCCCCTCCTGTCTGCTTTTAGTATTTTTGACCCTGCACAAGTTCCAGAAAGGGGCCAGCCAGGATTCAGGGATTATGGCAGTGCAGCGGTGAAACTTCTGGCTGAGCAGTTCTTTGATGACGAAAGCGACAAAAAGCAGTTGATGGATGAGTGGCAGGTATTCAAGTACGACTTGGCAAAATGGAAGAACGAATTGCCTGAGGAAGTTAGAAAGCTCTCTGGTGGAAGCAAACCTACAGTCACTTCAACTGATTGGTGCCTCCAGAAGCTAATGTTCATGAAGGACCTGGTCCCATTTAATCTTCCACTTATTGCAAAGTTGGCAGAGGCAGTGATCTCTCTTCCAGTGTCGAATGCATGGCCGGAAAGGGGTGCCAGTTCTTTAAAACTGATGAAGACAAGGCTTCGAAGTAGAATGAAGAATGACATGCTCAACGCTCTGCTACACATTCTCATCAATGGTCCTAAAGTGGGAAGTAAGGAATTTGAAGGAGTGATTGATGCTTCTGTTAGAGCTTGGTTAGCTGCCAAACCACGCCGAAAGTGTCCTCCAATGTTTGTCAGCACACAACTGGTCGCCAATTCAAGTGGTATAAGTGAGAACGTTGTAACGGTAACCATGCAGGATGCTGGTGTGCAGACAAATGATGACAGCGTCATTCAGCCAGTTCAACGTACAATTGCAGATGAAGTAGATGAAACCTCAAAAGCATTGGAGCTACCAGCAGATGATGATGATGATTCAGATTACGGCTCTGACTTTGAATTTTCCCATGACATATAGTCAATAGTGTAGTCCTTTTAAGCTTCATACATTAGTTGCCCGTATTTAGGATTGACTTTAAGTTTTCTTCATGAATGAAAGCAGCAAACAGTACAGGAGGAGTTCATTCATGAAACTCTACGATCTATATAATGTTTGTTTCAGTTATTATAATTTAAATCAAAAAAGGCAAGTGTGGCTCACTATCTAACAAACTAAGCAATATACCGGTAAGCCGGTAAGTTTGGTTCATTATTCATACTGTTATATTATGTATTTAGTAAATTCCCTGAGGCTGCAAAAAGTTACAAAATTAGTTACATTATTGGTTTTCATGAAGTCAATTTGTGCTTGTCAATTTAGTAAATTCTCTAAGGCTGTAAACAGTTACAACATTGCTAGTATAAAGTAAAAGCTCCGCAAATTATTCACAATTTTCGTTTGCAAAATGAGGGAATAGAATTATAAATTTCCAACTCAGAATGCTGGAAAATGCATTTCCGAGAGTCTAATTTTCAAAAATTTTCCGGGGGAGCATGCCCCCGGACCCCCCTAGAGGCTCGGTCCTTCGGCCCTTCGCTATGCAGGGCTGCCCGCTTACTCTACCACGAGAACCCTCCTACTTCAAAAATTAATGAAAACCCTGGTTTACGGTGAGCGTTTTCATCGTCTTCGTGTGGACGGAAGGCCTAACGCATAAAAAAGTTTGCGTTTACTAGCGTTTGCGTTTACAATCGTCTTCGTGTGGATGGGGCCTTAAGCGAGCCAGTGATTCTAGAAAAAAATATATAGCCTTTTCATCAGGACAGACGAAACTGCTCGTAATAAACAGATGACCAATGCATATATTGTATGTATTGTATATATTTTTTCCACTGTATATATTGCACTCTGCTACAGTATAAAAGGGCAAGTCGAAATTACCAAACATGGCGTGTTATTTTATTTTTATCAAAGATGCAACATTATTATAGTTTTTACTAAGCCTTAATTTTGAAACTTCTACAGAAATGCACAACAAAATAATAAAAATACTAATTTTGTGCAATTAATTACGTAATTGATGGCACTTGTAATCATATGTGCACTAAATAAATCAGTAGGAAAAGATCCGTTGAATTAAATGACCACATGTAGCGAAGAATCGATTTGTCTAGATCTATAACCTAGACAAGCAAACATGTGCATATGTCCTAAACACTCTTACATATGGATAATTGCACCTAAAAACTCCTAATCTCATCTCAATCAAAAAAGACTGAGAGAATTTTAGAATATTCAGTTCAAGCCACCCCCTCAACCAACCACCCAGTCGAGAGTTATGACCTCTCTTAATTAATTTCTTCCTCGGTAACCCAAGCAAAAAGCGAAAAAATTTAGACTGTTGAATGCGGAAGAAAGAAAAGTAATGCCAATATGTAGACAACAGTACCGTTTCTTTTGTTTGTATTTTCCTCTGCAGCGTTAAATGAGTGTCCTCGGAAAATCAGCTTTTTCTCCCCCTCTAGGGAGAACACCGTGTAACTTTTACAGCAAAAGGGCTGCCTTTGATGTGAGCGCCTCTCAAGCACACGGACAATGTGTACTGACCTGACCCCTCCTGACCACCAAATATTAATATGAAACTCGTGAACTTTTGATCAGGGACAGTATATTCTGCTAAGTACGTCCCGTCGTCATTGTCTTTTACATCCACCTTAACTTCGTATTCTCCCTTATTTAGTTTCACCGCGTAAACGTCGCCACCTCGTTTGCTTTGACGGCTTTGGCTGTCGCGAGAAGTAATAGTGAATTTTGCCTTCCTTCCAAGGTTTGCACTTTTTATTCCCGAGCCAGTTGCAGTAGAGTTGGCTGCACAAGTTGATCTGTCACTGATGTCGCCTGCGCTCTGCCGGATAGCTTTCTCTATACTCTTGCCAAATGTAAAACCCGCCATGCCAAAAAAGGACTAAAAGAGTTCATTACAGTCAGTTAAAAAATATATAATTTTCAATAACAAACGATTTACGATTTTTTTGGTCAGTAGTTGCGTTGTTTAAAACTTTTACTTCAGTGCGGCGACAACTAGATTTCAGATTTACAATCTTTGAGTTGGTTCAGTGCTCCTTTTTAAAAGTTAAAGGTGTATTTCAAGGGAGTGACATCATCATGAGGGAAGGGCTGAAAAGCAAAAGGATTCACCATCTTTCTTCTCACTGTACCCCTAAGAGTCTTGGGAGGGGGCGAGAGGCCTTTTTACATCTAGTGAATTTCTCTGCTGAGGGGACAAATTCAATAAGTTAACGTTAATTCATTAAGAAACGGTCCAGATAAGAACGATAGCAACAACGGCAACGAACATGTTGGAATGCAAAAAAGGTGCTAACTTTTCTGTTGTCAGTTCTTACTTCTGATTGGCTTAAACAGCAAAAGTTAACAAAACTTCATAAAGCTGTACATATATTCATCCTTACTTTCCAACCATCTTCCATATAACAAAATCTGGTCTCCGTTTGAATAACAAAGAAATCCTATGTGGGAACATATAAAATTGTAAACTTTTCTTGGCTATTGTTTTCAACTCTTGTGATTGGTCAAAATCTTTTAACACAGAAAAACACCCTTTCAAAGTGGAGTGTAAATGCATTTTATTGCGTAAACGGCCTTCATGTAGGTTTATGCATTCTCTACGTATAAATGAGAACATTCCTATGTGGGGAAAGCACCGTTGCCGCATAACAAAAGAAATTGCTATCCACCTTACCCGGATCATTACTTAAAGTTTTTCTCCTGTACAATATTTTTCTCTTGTAACAGTCGACGCCTCAGTTTAGCATTAAGTTCTAGTATTCTATCTAGAAACAAACTAAAAAGATCAGTTAAAACTTCGATTTGGGCCAACCATAATTATGAGGTTTGTCTTAAGAAATGAACGTCACGATCAACTATTTCTGTAAAATATATTGATTAGTTCAACTTTTGTCACAATATGGAACAATGAAACGTGAAAGGCACCTTGTGCTTACGGTTCAGAACCGCCTCAAAGATGAAAGGATCAGTCATATTTACTTTATCCATTCACACCTCATCAGGAAACAAACGTTAACAAGAACCACTAAAAATTACCTGACCGAAATTCATCTCAAATTGGTTGATACTAAGCCGATGTTATCCTCGGGAACCCAACAGAAATCTGAACGGGATAGAAAATTATATTGTCTGGCCATGAACTGTTCCTAGAACTGAAACAGTTATTGAAATCTCACCTTTTCGTCCTGTGTAAACTCGGGTAAAAACTGGGCCTCCGGTTCAAGCAGCAAAGAGTAGCTTTCATGATTGGTCTCCAAAGTGGACACTATGGCCGGCCTATTGAGAAGAAAGTTAACATCGCTAGGAGATTGTATGGAGGACTTTGCTTGTTCAACTGCACTCTCTAAACATGCTTTGTTTAATCGAAAACGTTCTAGCTGCCCCGTGAGGATGGATTCCTTGGATTGATGTAGACTGACCAGCTTATCCAGTAGAACTTGCTCTCGGCTATTTATTGCGTCACGAAGCTATAAGAAACAAACACACTCACATATTCCCGAAACTTCTCCAAAGCTAATATAACTTGCATGTTGTCCCTCAGCAGCCTGATATTTGAAAACTAATAACAATATGATCCCTCACTGATGATTTTATTTTAATATTAGCAGCAGTTTAGCAGTTTAGCAGTTAGTGTTATTCCAAAGTTAATCATTTTGCGGGAGGTCTACTTCTTCGTATACGTATCTAGTTCAGTGTTTCGAATCACTGACTTCTGCATGTCACTTGAGTGCATTTAAAATTATTCTTTATCTCAGTAACTGCCAGCATAAACCGTTTTTCATTTTTTTGATCATGTTACTCGTAAGTCGTTCTTGTAATCCCAGGAAATTTTTGCTGCTTCGATTTCATTCGAACTAATAACGAAGACATGCCTTACTTGTTGAAAATACTCTTGAATTTCATCATTCCTTTCTTCGCAAGCCTCCTTCATAGAAACACTTGCTCTCATCACTTGACCTTCAGCAGCTTTAATCTTTTCGACTTGAGAGCTGGCTTTGGTGACAAGCGCCTCCATCTCCTGTCGGTAATTTGAAGCAGCTTCAGCTACAGTTACACAGTTGTGCCCGCTATGATTAAGGGCGTCACAGTCTCTACAAATAACACGACGACAATCTTTGTCAAAAAATCGGAATTGATCGTTATGTTCTGGACAGAGAACACATACAGAAGCCACCTGAGGGTTTGCTTTCAGCTCCTCGAGGGAAACAACCCGGTGGCCACGACTTGTTTTGCTGCGTTTATGAAACTGGGACGCAGTTTTGCACATATTTTCTTTGCAGTCAAGGCAACAGAAATTGGCAGGGTGTTTCTCATCACAAGCTTCACATTCGTGAGAGCCGACATGACCTGTATTTTCAGCATGTTGTTTGGGTGCCGTTTCGTTCACGATGTCCAGTAATGCAAAATTCTTTAACAGACCATGGACTCCAGAAGGAACGGCAACTGGATTTCTGCATTTGGGACAATCAATGGTGTTACCACGGAGTAACCTTTCCAAACAACACGAGCAGAAGCTGTGTCCACAACTCAGCATCCGAGAACATTTGCTTTGGTCATTGTAACATTCAAAACAGATTGAACACTCCGGTCCCTTGGATGCCATTGTCTATAATAGATAAATAGTAAAAAAAAAATTAACATTTCGGAATGTCGAAGTAATTTTCACTGAACGATAAAAGAATGAGAAAACAGCGATCTCTCAAATTCGGCACATTTTTGTCGACCCTCTTACTTTAAGGTTCATTCATGTCTTCGTTAGTGTTATCGACATTGTTGTTGACAGTTTTCCTTTCCCAGGGGCGGATCCAGGATATTTTAATGGGGGGTGGCTGATACCAATCGGCCACCAAACTACACGTTAATTTATTCTAAGTTGCCCTACGTTTGTCCCAAACATGACGATTTAGAAAGGGCAAATTAGAGACTGTATCACTGCAAACTCTTGAAAAGCCACAAAACAGAAAAAATAGAAGCTAACAGAAATACCTTACTAACCTAGACGGCCAAAAGTGAAGACGCCGTCATTCGTCTAAGGTATAGTCGTGCTGCGCCACAAATTTCTCACAAACTACACTTCCGTCGATTGTTCTGCATTTCCATGCAAGGCGATTGCACGTATTTCTATATTTTTTGGGACCCATGTATTTCCGTTTGTTTTTCCGTGTATCAATTTCTTTTTAGGTGGGCTGTCCTAAAGGGGGCCGGCTAGCCACCCAATCCAGCCCCCCTGGATCCGCCCCTGTTTCCCCTGGACTTCGTTCAGTCTCATAGAGAAACCATAACATCATACACAGGGAACCGGAACGCTCTATAACATGTATTTACCTGTGTTCGAGTAAATTACAAAAGTAACTTCAGCGTCCCGTTCACATGCTAACCTATTTTCAAACTTTGCAACACTTTTCCGGCTTTGTTCTTTTTGTTTCTTTTAATTGAGACTTTAAAAGCCGAACGTATACGTCATTTAGTTTTAAAACCTTTTGCGGAAAGGACGCTTAGATTTCCAACTTAAAAATAATGGCGTTAACAATTAAATTGCTTTTTGGATTAATGTGCATGTCTCCAAATGATTTGTTACGTGTTCTGGGAGAAAAGGTGTTGTAACTGAATACTGCTGTCCTTTTGTTTCCTTTCTTTCCTTTCTTCTATCAAGTCTGTTTATAGCCATCTATATGGAAACATGAATGAAGAAATTGACGGCGGACTTGGCAAGGATAAAAGCGAGAAAACGTTGAGAAAACGGCTTGAGTTAATAATGACTGATACTCAAACTCCAGAGGATCAAGCAGCCGATCTTGACAACGTCGAAAGAGACGCAAATCATTGATGAAGTTGGAAGATACTTTTTCCAACCATGAACATGATCTATTCTATTCTACATATGTTAAGATAGAAGAATTTTACCTAGTTTTTAACCGCTTTCCAATCGAAAGAGCACCAGCTCAGTTAACCCCGACTTTCACAAGCTGTTGTGGTCGTTATAGAGGTAATTAAACCAGAATGATTAAAAATGTGGCTGTTGAATATATGTTTAGTAAAGAATAATATTTTCAGAGGCATTTCTGGCAATTTCAGGACATCAAGATTTCAAACTTTCTTCGGGGAGCACGCCCCCAGACGCCCTAGTATGCTCACTTTTACGGGTCCTGACACTTATTTTCCCTCCCTATTTCGTCTTTAGAGTAAGATCGTCAGTAAGATCGTAAGTCTCTCAGAATCTCGTCTAAATTCTCTCTCCCAATGCTAATATACAAAGTGATGTTAGTCCCTACACCAGAGCCTGAGTGAACTTAGAAACGAAATACTTCAAAGCAAGTGTAGTTTTCCTGAGTTTTCAATGTTACTGGTAACACCTCAAACACAAGTGATGTTTATTTACTTCGAGATAACTTAATTTTGTTTTGCACGTAGTTAGCTAAGATAAAATGACACGTGTCCCCGGCTATGTCGGTTGAATAGCCTCAGTTCCAGGCTCCAAGAGAAGAGATCGTGAAGAGACCGTGAAAATTGATGCGAAAAAACGCGCAGGGATTGGAGAGAGAGGTATGCGACGCTCCTATTATCTGAGAGCTTGGCACAGGCTACGGTTGACTTGATGTTAGTCTCTTGAAACTTCGTTGAATCGTTTCAACATTCCGACTTGAATGAGATATAAATTAAAATGACCTAACATGTCCATTAGTCCTTTACTCACCTATGTTTGCTGCTTATACGATACAGGCGACAAAATCTTTTTAAAATAGTAAGAAAACTGGTACATTATGAAAGCCTGAGGTGTTCAGGACAGTCAGTCGCCTGCAAGCACTTTGATTTACTAAAATCTATTCATTGTTATTAATAAAATAACTGAACTGAAAAATTTCTTGTATCAAGTGTATCCAACGCAACGCAACGCAATCATCGCAACGCGTGATAATGCAAGCCTGAAGAAATATGCCATTTAAGAATTGTTTCATACTTAGCGTGCGTATATCGAGTTATGGATGCACACGGGAAGTTTGGAGAGCAAGAAAGATGCGTAAGAGTAGCTCGAGGCGCAGCCGAGAGCAACTCTAGCTTCTTGAGTGCTCTCCAACCTTCCCAAGTGCATCCATAACTCGATTTAGTAAAATCCAGCTAGTGGTTTATTTATCAATGCTGCGTTCTGATTGGTTGAGCTACTACTAGGCTATATGTTATAGCCCACTAGTAGCGAAAAGCGCCGGCTTTTCGGCGGCAAAAAAGGATTAAAGTCTAGCTTTTAACTAGCTAAAAATGTTTTATTCTCGATATTTTTTACCCACTAGTTGGATTATACTAAAACAATTATTCCTCTCGCCCTCATGGCCTCTAAGTCAATAGCCCATTCGGCCGTCGACCTCATGGGCTATTGACTCAGAGCCAATTCGGGCTCGAGGAATAATTGTTAAATACGCACAGCTAAAAGCATGAGCAAATTCTTTTTAACACAGCTGACAAAAATGCTTGCTTTTTGATTAACTGCAAAATTCTCGTAACGCGCGACACAATAACAAACGCTTCTATTGGCTGATTAAAAACACGCCACAATCGTCTAGTTTGAATGAAAATTCTTTCTGTAAAACTGAGAAAGAAAATTTCCCTATTTATACGATCAATGGAAACTGAGCAAAAACAAAGGCAAAAGAGTCTTAAAGTCCACCTAAAGATGAAATACTCACATGTTCGTAAGAAGCCGTAAAGTATGGTTTAGATTTGCTGAAAAGATGTTTATGTTTTGCTCGGCGAAATCCAGAAAACTTGTTTTTTAGCGAGGACGTCGCGAGGACGACTGTCATCCTACTTTAAACTTATATTCATTTACGAACAATAGCTGGTTATTACTGCTTCTTGAGAAGACCTGGCAGCAGTTGTTTTTGTGAGTAATAATTAAAAATTTATGTCTTGTGTAATTTGTCTTAGTATTGCAAAAGAAATTTTCCTGCTTCAGTCGGATTGTTAGCGAACTTGCGGTTTCTAAGCTGTGAGAAAGGCCAAGAATGTCAATCAATCTTCATTATGTTGCGTGGAAAAATAGTTAAGTAAACCTGAAGTAAAAAAGATAGGTTGTGTGTGAAGCTTTCTCTTACTTGAAGAATTTAAAATTTACTTGTCTTGAAATATTTCTTAGCTTATTTAGGCTCTAGTGTAAAGACTACCAACCTATCTTTTTTACTTCAGGTTTACTTAAGCCTATTTTCCCACGCAACATAATTAAGATTGATTGATATGCTTCGCCTTTCTCAAAGCTTAGAAACCGCAATTTCGCTAAGTCGGTTTTAAGGATGGTTTTCAAGTCACTTGAAATAATAAAGCTATCAAGATTTTATCCTTAGACTCGACTTGATTTCGAATCATCGAACTGCATCGTCGACTGGAGCTAAGCGATGGCAGAATAACCTCAAATTAGTCTATACTAATGACTATACAATAAGCTTTTCCTTGGCAATATTTAAATTACAAGTAGTATGTACCTTAAACGGGGCAGAAGGTAGGCAAAATAAAATCTTTTTGCGACGTAATTCCGCCTTGTCGGTCTCGGGAAGCTACGTTGGTCATGTGACAACCAATTTTATCTTTGCTGGGGTTCGTGCCGTCAGCCCTGGAGGGTGAATAAACAATGCTTATTATTCATTCAAAATATTTCCCCGATCCTGATTGGCTAAAAGCACACGCATAATTCACCATAACCAGTTACTGAATAGTAATAGTTGACACTACAGCTGCCCCCCCTCTGTATATTATATCTCAATAGTAATCTTGCTCGTTGTGTAGCTCTTTGAAATATACCGATTCATAATGAAGATATTCACACATATTTCATACAATAGGTGAGATAAATAGAGGAAACGCAAGGTTCCTGCACAGTTTCGGTTCGATTTACACAGCTTTGATCAAAACATTCTCAGTCTCGAGAATAGTTTATTCTAAACCATAAGAAAAGATTTAATTAGAAGTTTAATTTTTCTCTATTTCTATTTCACTTTTTACATTTAGTTTATTTTATTTGCCGGAAAGTAAGCCTTAATTTTAAGGACGTTTGATCAATTCACGCTCGCGCATTCTAGTCTTATCTTAAACTTTATAGCGGAAGGACATCTGTGAGCAGGGAATATACGTCAGCACAGAATTTGATGGTCGGCGAATTTCTGTAATCGTCCATCGTTCTGCTAGTGATAAGCTAGCCGTTGAATCATTCACTCTTCTTGCTTGTTTGGGGCCGATTCTTATTCCGGTCAAAGAAAGAGACAGAGTGTCTGGCAAGGTTCCCAATCAAAGATTTGTGAACTAGTGCCTGGCAAACTCACTTAGTGTTAAAATATACACTGTTATACGCACCTTATAACTTCATCTACGCTTAACGAGTGTCTTTTGGTGCATAACTTTCATAACAACTGCTCCACAGAATGTCACTGATAACACGTAAGTAAGTATCGAAGTATGACTGCACAATTTATGTCACAAAATCTACCTATTGTAAGCGGTCCCTTCAGGATTTTTGTTTTACGTCATCCTAACCATTTCGTACTTGCGAGCGCAAACAATAGAAACGTCATCATTACCTACCGATTCCTCGTGGCCCCTGTTCAAGCAAATCGAGATTTT